GCCACCAATTATGAAACCGTGCATATCATCATTTATACATTGAAAGATATGCCGATAAAAGTCCTTGATAGGACGAGAATAAGTAATAATTAACAGCGCTGCAACGAAGCGCCGTCCCCGTCGCCCCCGCCCCCGCCCGCGCCCGCGCCGCCGCGCGCTGCCAACCTATGACGCGACTCCCTGACGGCTCGCGAGCGCGTGGCTCTGGAAACGTTCGCATACGTCAAGGGCTACGCGGGGTACGGGAAGCTCCCCCGAGACAATGTACGATACCTCTTTCACTACCTTCTCATTTCTCACACCTTTTCTCAAATGGTAGTCAAATTTCAAAAAAAACAAACATCTATCCGAAGAGCGGACGCTGTGGAAACAACAACACTCAAATAGTTGGGTAAATATATACTTTCCTTCAAAATAAAGGAAGAGTTTAATGTTCAGGGAAATTCCGTGGAAAGTTGCAAAGTTGTGTGAACAATGTGAACAAGAGCTATGAAAATTATATTTCTGTTGGTCTCTCCAATCGGTTACTCAAATGCGCTGGGGTAAGAATGATATTTCATTTTAGAAGCCGTTTTCCACCTCTGAATGATCTTCAAAGCATCCGAAAGGTCATTTCTTTTCCGGCCATGTGCTCCTTGGGTTATGGAGCGGCGGCAACGCTCGCGCTTTTCCTCCGTGCAGTTGGTGCCTCCGCACTATCGAGCTTCGGGCATTGGCCGCGGGGGGCGCGGCGCGCGGCGCGCTGCGGCGTATTTCGAGCAGCTGATCGCGGGGCGTCGCGCGAAGTGTGGTGGCAGCGTTAGTCGTCGGCCCGCCCACCACCGCCTCCCTCGTCTTCTCCTCCACGCGCCCGCTGCAGCCGGCGCGCCTTCTGAAGAGCCTCCCGCTTCGAAGCAACAGCAGCCTCCCTCCGCTCCAGAGATGTCCGGCGCGCTGACCAAGTTGACGCGGGCCCTCCGCAGCCATGCGGCGTCGGCGCCCGCGCAGCGACGCGCATGTGAGTACCCTCCGGCCGCCGCCGCCGCCGACGCCGACGCGTGCTACGGCTGCGCGAACGACCGGACGCCGGTTCGACGCCGGGACCAGAAGCGCGGGAAACCGGTTCCCTTTCGCCGACGTCTGGCGCCCGGTGCTCGGAGGAAAATTGGGGCGAGCGCAGACTGGTACTTTCGTCTGGGATGTAGTACGAAGGCAAATCACCATATGCTCATGAATGTACCGTTACGGTTTCATTGTTTATGCGTTTAGAGTTTCGAATAACTCATTTTACATCACACATACGAGGAGGGGCTTGCCTTTGTTGAATCGCTACTTTTTTAAATTCAAAAAGGATGTAGAAGCCCGAGCGTCACTGCCGATAAGTCGTGGGACGCGACCGCCTCCCCATTTTTTTATTGGACGGGATTTCTCCCTAATTTATACCTTTGCTATTAAATCATCCCTCTCTAGTAATAGGTGGTGACTCCCATGAGTGTACTCATTGTTCATAATGCAACTAGGCAGGCACGCTGTTATTGTGGCGATCACAAGAAATAATATACCCACTCACAACATAGTGAATCTTCACGATTAGTAATGTAATCGAATAATTTTCTGTTGAAAATGGTGTAGTATCATTTTCCAAGAAGCTGGCAAACAATGGCACATTCACTTCTGAAGTAATATTGCGGAATTTCTTTGTTGTCTATAAAGTTCGTAAGAATGTAACGTAGATTTTCACGATCATAGATTTTGTTTACCTACGGCGCTGATCGGATATTGATTTCTCTGGCGCCGTGGTAGCGGGTTCGACGCCCCGCGCGGCACCGAGGCGGCGTACGGCACGGGGCTCGTGGCCTTTCGGGGCTGGCTGCGTGCCAGGCCTCGAGAAGACGCTAACTAGCCTGCGCAAGACGATCGGCATCGCGTACTACTTGAAAATAAACTACTGATACTCTTTTTGTGAGGGCGGCGCGATTCATTCAGCAAGTTGTAACCGTATTAGTGCAACAACGAACGTACTGTAGGAGGGTAAGGCTGAAGTTTGTGCATGGTTGCAAGACTTACTGTACGATATCTGCCAATAAACAATTTTTATCTAAAATATTGTTTAATCTTAAATTATTTGTATTGTCTTCGTGTGTTTAAGTTAACTCTCAACTGGGTCTTATTCATTCGGAGTATTTCTAAGAACTTCAATTCCGATTGAATGGACTGGATTTGATACTAGTGATCTCGACCTGTTCCGTAACATATGCCTTAATTTGAAGGTGGTGGTTTTCTCTTCTGTACTCTCCCGTATAAGAGCAAGTGAAATTTAAAGCAAGTCTTCTGACCGGTGTGCAAACTTCGTGTTACGTAAACGCGCCGAAGGAAAAAAATGTTCTCTAGCAGAACCGACAGAGTTCCCGGTCGATACCGGCGTCAGCGGCGTCACCCCAGAGACGATGGCGGCTGTGGGGGCGGCGCTAGGGGGAGCGGACGCCGGCGCGTCGCCGGTTACTCGGCAACCCCGCTCCGCCGCCGCCGCCGCCGCCCGCGCCCATGGCCGTGCTCCCTCGCGAAGGGAGACGCGGGCGGCGTGGAGGGCAGTGGCTCGGCCCGCCCCAAGGCGGTCGGGCGCCCGGAGCTCTCTGCTGTCCCTCTTCCCTGCCGCTCCGCGCCCCGCCCGCCGCTCCGCGCTCGAGCCGCCGCCGGATGGACGCGCGCCGAGGGCGCGCGGGACGCGTTCGGGCTCCCTCTGGCCCACAGGACCTGCCCCACGGGCCCGACGCACGCCCCGGCCTGGCGGACCAGTTGGGAGGATTTTTAATTCATACGGAATGTTACTATCGGAATGGATGCATATGAGACCCTTCTGACAAAAATTCGTTATTAGTATAATCTTGTGAACACGCTACCTAGTAATGTTATTTTTTTCTTTCTCAGTAGAGAAATATACTTACTACTTTCAGAAATACTTTTGAAGAAGGGTCCAAAGACGTAAATAGGTTACTTATTAGTGTAAAATACTCCACTAATCAAATTTTATTACTTTTGCCTAACAGTGGACTATTATTGAATCTCTAGCTTTCAAATCAATTATTTCAGTACAATACCTCGACAGTTTTCTCGGAATGCTTTCTTAAATTTTTGGAAGGCTTTCTAACCAGGAAATAAAAGTGTGATGGAACAAGTTTCCCAAATCACCCTTAGAATGAATTCATACATTTTTATTTTCCCAAAGCACGAAGTAAAGAGTCCATCCCTTTTGTCCAGTTGTAGGCGCTCGCTGGCGCACACATAACATAAGTCTGTAACGCACGTCTGTAACAGTCGCACACACTTTTTAAGTCGTTATACTATGCGGAATTCGCTGTTGGAAATCCTCTTCCCTGCCATACTTCAAACTGAGAAAGGGCCCCTTATCCGTAAATCACTCGAATCGTGATAAAGTGCCACCTTTCATCAACCAACATTTAAGTCGTGCTACATTCACCCTCCCACAATACCGCTACCATCTTTAAGTTTTTTGTTGTTTTCTAAGCGGTCCTCTCACATTTCTGGCGATCCAAGTAACCTACCTCTCCTCACCATTAAAAAAACCAAAAAAAAAAAATTAAAAAGCGGCCAGGCGTACTCTCCAAGCTCCAGCACTGCCACTGCCAGTGCATTGTGCCGCGTTCGTC